AAAAAAAGGCGTTGGAAAATGTTAGGATTATTTTAGAACTAGGATAATTATGTTAAGCCTTTTATAATTATATTAAGTCTTTTATAATTATGCTATTATCTTATTAGGATATGATTAGGATTATCTTATTATCTTTTTATAATTAGATAGAATATCTTATTAGATTTGAATTAGGCAATTAGAGTCTTTTTGGGAGCCATTTGGAGTCAAGTGTAAGGCTATATAATAGCCTAAATCTAGATTCTGATTATCAATGAAGAATTTTATCAATTAATTTCTCTGCCTCTTGTTCTTGGAGGTCTCTATTCCTCAGATAAACAGATCTTATCCCAAACCCTATCATTAGTGCTCTTGTTCCCTTTCCATGGCCGACCCTTCTTGCCTACAGGTTTTGGAAGAACTTGTCTCTCAACATAGGGCCAGACTAGACACTTAAGAGGCCAAACTTGACTCCATAGAGGGTCTTTTGATGGCTATTACACTAAAACTGACTGCCATTGATGCCAAGTAGAACAATGATGACAACAAAAAGAGCTTATGGGGTACAGTGATGCGAGTGGCGATGGCACTCTCCCGCCCAACTCAAGTTCGCATTCTTCTAGTTCTGGGCCACCTTTTAAGCTTTTTCGATTGGAGGTGCCCCGCTTTAATGACACGGAACTGTAACTCATGACCTTCTCCCTGGAACCCAAAGTCATTTCTTAAGTGGGCCCCATCGACCATTCTACCTATTATGTCACGGTTGTTGTCGGCCACAAGTCTACTGTTGACCCTCCCTTGGTCCCTTTGGGTCATAATAACAACAATCCTCCACCACTACTGCCAGCCCTCACCAAGCCTCCCATGCGTTCTGATATCTCTCTGATGTCAGTACTTGGCATCGTGTTGGGTCACGACAAAAGAACAAGCGACTTCTTTACTGTGCTGATTTTTTACCCCGGCGGTGGAACTTTTGTTGTCTCTTTATTGCTTTGGAACTCATTTGTGCCTATGATTTCTTATGGTGTAATATCTTGCAACCTTAGGGACAAGGTTGAACCGAAGGGGAAGGCAATGTTAGGATTATTTTAGAACTAGGATAATTATGTTAAGTCTTTTATAATTATATTAAGTCTTTTATAATTATCATTTATAATTATGCTATTATCTTATTAGGATATAATTAGGATTATCTTATTATCTTTTTATAATTAGATAGAATATCTTATTAGATTTGAATTAGGCAATTAGAGTCTTTTTGGGAGTCATTTGGAGTCAAGTGTTGTAACGCCTACATGGAGGTACGTAATTTAATTTATGCTCTCATACCTTTAGTTGATTTTTGCTAAAGTTATTTTGAGAAAATGTGAAGAAAATGCCTTAAACTTGCATTAAGGGTAAAATTGTTTTTTCACACAAAATTAGTTGAAAAGTGGGGAGCGAAAAGAGAGAGAATTTCATGAAGAATGCAATAAAAATGAAGGCATTAGGGTAATTGACTAAAGGACATAGATGGAATTTCAAAGAAAGTGCAAGGGCAAAATGGGAAAATACATATATATATATATTTTATGTTATATCAAATTGAAGAGTGAAACCCTAGCCACTCTTACCCATTTTCATGCCACTTTCACCTCCATATTCTCTCAAATTCTTCAATTTTTCTTCAAAGGAAATTCATAGGTTTTGGGTATTTTTTGAGTGGATTTTCAATCCCAAGCAACTTTAGGTAAGATCCTTGCACTAAGAAGTGATTTTTCATTTTTAAAGTGTTGAATTTTAATGGTTTGTGCTCATAGGATTTAAGAAGAAGAGAGTTTGGTCAAAGAAGATTCTTAAAGGGGTTGGATTGCTCATGTCAAAGGTAAGTAATTCCCACGCAAGTTATGATTTGAGAAATCAAGTGTGTAGAGATTTTACATATATGTATATGTTTATGATTTTGAGAATTGTTAATGAAATTGATGAATTATTGATGAGTTTGATGATTATTGATTAATAGAATTTAGCCATGAGAAGTAGTTTTAGTTGTATGATGATTAATTGAAGTTCGGTTGAATTTAGAAAGAGTTGAGTAGAATTTTTGGGAGTATATTGTTTTGGACAGGTTTGGTAATTGTTCAAGGGAGTTTTACTCCAAATATTGGTGGCTTGAGAAAGAGATAGAATTGTAGTCAAATTAGAGTTTGATTATGCATGCAATATGTTTGATGAAATGTCCAAGAGAAGTGTATGCATGAGTTTTATTCACTTATGAATTGATATGAGTTTGTAGATGGTAGAGAGAAACTTATTTTTATGCTACATAGCATCCTTGCATTTAAACATTTGCATTTAGAAAGAATTATAAGCATGAAACCATCTACATGCATACATATTCATAAGAGCATGAAAAGCACTAAAATGTGTTAAAGAGAAAATAGAAAGAAATGAGAATATTAAAGATATTCAAATCTGAAATTTTAGTTAAAGAAGTGTAAAAAGATAAAAAGAAGAGAAAGTTGTTGCGATGGGGAGCCCATGAGTGACATAGTCCTACATGCATGCCCCCTTTAATGAGCGGCCTCAGAATTCAGAAAGAAGAATTGTACAGTCCGTTAGAAGTGCGTGTGGATGAGGACTGTACCTAGAATTAGAGAATTCACTCACACGGCCAAGGCTCCAAATCCATGCCTTAACCGAGTCTGATCGGCAAGAAAAGAAAGAAAGAAAAGAAAGAATAGAAGTAAAGACTAGAAAAGAAAGAAAGAAATAAAGAAAAAGTAACAGAAAACAGAATAAGAAAAATAGAACAGAAAATGCATAATTTATGCATTTGTGCATTTGCATCATGAATATGCATAATATCATGCTCCTTATCATGAGTAGAGAGAAATTAGAAAATTGAGAGAAAAACAGAGAGCAAAACAGAGAAAGAATGAGAAAGAATAGAGGAAAGAACAGAGAAAGAATAGAGAATAATCGAGAAATGAGATGTAAGGAAAGAAAATTCGGAACTTAAGCAACGGAGAGAGAAGGGTAGCATAGCGGGTTTACTTACTGAGCAATTAGTGCTCACTTCGTTGTTTTTAATGTTTTTGCAAGCAATAGGTGAGTTGCGATCGCACGGAACGTCACGAGTGGAAGGGTTGGGCTACACTGTCAAGTTGTTATTTTTGAGTATATTTTGTAAATATTTGTATATAAAGAAAAATTAAATATGGGCCCATACTTTATTACTCGTTTATATTGGTATTTTCTTATATATTTTTAATGAGATTTATTAATTATTCTACGAGTATACTAGCTAGAAAGAAGGTATTACAAGTATAAGGCTATATAATAGCCTAAATCTAGATTCTGATTATCAATAAAGAATTTTGTCAATTAATTTCTCTGTCTCTTGTTCTTGGAGGCCTCTGTTCCTCATATAAATAGATCTTATCCCAAACCCTATCAGAAAATATATTCAAATTTGTAAATCAAGTTCGATGGGAAAGCTTTTTAATTTTGGGTCATTAACGATGTCTTCGCTTCTATCGCCATGTGATATTGATTGAGCTGAAGCAATGATGTTGTACATCGGTTCATCTTACCACTTGTTTAGAGTTAACTATAGTTAAAACAACATAAGAGAAGAAAATAATAATACAATCACACACCAATTAAATGTAATTCAGAAAAACAAGACATATCTCCACAAAAGAGGATATTAAGAAAAATATATTGATAATTGGTACATGTTTATAGCTTAAGTCTAAACCTAATAGCACAAGCCTTTAAATCCCTTATACACCCAATCTTAGCCCAAGCCAGCAATCCATCAAACCATACACTCTTGATCCTTGAAAAAATAAAAACTATATTTTTCTCTAATTGTGGCTGAAAGTTCAATGTGACAGGTTGTGGTACAAAGCAGAAACTTCACCACCAGTAGCTGAAAAATCAAGTCTTAGAGAAAAGGTAGAAAATGTAGAGGTCGATTAAAGGTTTGTAAATGTAGTGTTTATAAGTGGTTTAGTTTAAGGGGAAATGTTAAACAAAGGAGGTATGAAAATGTGTGTGTGAGAAGTAATCTGGGTCATTTTGTAATCTTAGCAAATTGTATAGGGTGTGCTTATATTTTGTAATATTAGTAAATGCAGTGCATTTTGTATTGAAAGAATCCAGTTACAAATAAGTAACTGTTTTGTAACAAACTTCAATTAATGAAAAAAATCCCCAATTTTCGTGATCTTGTCTAGACTGTTCTCTCTACTGTTCATCGTCTTCTTCTTCTTTAATTCAAGAAAACCTTCAACTCTATCTCTAACATCACACAACACCTCTCTTTCCCTCTTTGACAATGCTCTCTCAACCTCTCTTGTTGCAATTTGGGACCAAATACACACTCAATCTATTACCAATTCGATCACAAACACAAGATTAAAAAAGAATTCGAAGACACAAACAATTACCGTGGTTCACTTGTTCAAGATTTGAATAAGCTACATCCATGTTGAGCTCTAGAACACTGAGGCCCACTACACTATGTATCAAGAATGTTTTTACAAATTGCAAATCACAAGAACTCTCAAATCTCTCTCAATTGCTATTACAAACACCTACTCAAAGTAATCCTTATAAAACTTAAGAGAAATATAACCCACTCCTCTTAACCCAAAGGAAACACAACCTTTACAACACAATTCACCAAAATCACCCAAGAATTACACAAGTTGAGTGCAAAGTAAGAATCCCAGCAGAGAGTAAAAATACACGAAGAAGAAAGCAAAAAAAAACATGTTCACACAATAGAGAATGGACTGCTTTTATATGTTGACTAAATAAGAGGAGGGCAGCCATTGGATCTTGATGCAAAGTGACAACCAGGATTAAACAAGGAGTAGCACTCAAAATGGCAGCGCATGGGATTAAGTCATGCAAAACCGTTTAATGGTTTCATATTTTAACAATCTCCACCTTGAAGCCAATACACCCCTTCTGAATAGTACCTATTAGTGCATCAAGCATCTTCAATGTTCATTCTTAGCTCCACTACCTTATCCAATGCGAAGTAAGTCCAAGCAATGCTTGAACTTTGTGGCAATCACCACCTTAGTCCCCATGTCAACTAGATTCTCCTTGGTTGGGATCTTCCGCAGGTTCAATTGGCTTCTTGAGGTGAGATCTCTCACAAAATGAAACCTCACATCCACGTGTTTAGTCGTCTCGTGATACACTAGATTTTTACATAGGTGGATGGATCTTTGACTATCAGAATATATAGTCACAAGCCTTTCCAATAGGTTAGCCTCTTTCAGAATACCTTGCAACCAAATTGCTTCCTTAAACGCATCAATTACAACCATATATTCAGCCTCCATTGTGGATAAAGCAACCAGGGGATGTAATTGTGACTTCCACCTCACACAATTCCCACCAAGAGTAAAACAGTATGTTGTTGTAGATTTTCTAGTTTTTCTGTCACCTACAAAATCAGAATTTACATACATAACCAGATCAAGTACAATATTACTTTTGCAATAATCCAAACCAATATGCACAGAGCTGTTTATGTATCTTAAAAGCCATTTCAACGCAACCCAATGCTCAATTCCAAGATTAGACATGTATCTACTTAGTAAAGAAATAGCAAAGGCTAGGTCTAGTCTTGTACTAATCATAGCATACATTGTTGAGCCTATCGCATTAGCGTAGGGAATGTTCTCCATTTTTATCAGTTCAGAATTTGTTTTCAAACATTGCACTTTGCTGAGTACAAAGTGACTTGCTAAGGGTATAGAAACAACTTTAGAGTTAGTCATTCCAAACTTGGATGTAAGTTTCTGTAAATATGACATTAGGTGAATTTTTAGCTTATTTAATTTCCTATTTCTCTCTATCACTATTCCTAGAATCCTCTTTGCACATCCTAAGTCCTTCATATCAAATTCAGCACTCAACTTTGCCTTTCAATCATTTATTTTGGACTTAGACTCACATATTAACAACATATCATCAATATACAAGAGCAAATATATAGGCATGTCATTAGTAAGTGCAAAATAAAAGCAATTGTCATATTTACTCCTAATAAACCCAATCCCAATGATAAAAGAGTCAAACCGTTTGTGCCATTGCCTAGGAGACTGTTTAAGACCATATAGGCTCTGTTTGGTTCACTATTTTGGCTTTTTTTTAGAATAGTCTTTTGAAAAAAGTTGAGTTGAGTTGAGTTGTATCTAATGGAATAGGATTTGAATTTGAATATGTGTTTGGTACATTATTTGAATATTATATTAGAGTTAAATAAATTTGAATAATTGTTTGATATATTTTTTCAAAAAATATTTTAGGATAGAATATTTTGATGCATTTTGTTAAAAAAATTTATTATTTGATTTATTGAACTTTTCAACTTACATTTAAATAATATTAATTAGTTGTTTGGTAAATTTTTTTATCGCTAAAATAAAAACAAATTCTCCATGATAATTTCAAGTACGAATATATCATTTAAAAACACGGCATTAATACATATCTAAATTAATAATACAAAGCTACTAATAATCATCCCTCAGAATCCTTCGTACCCCTATATTCAGTTAACAATTACGAGATGGACTCATGTTCTACCCATATAGCAGCAGTTATGCTATCCCTCCAAGTTCCCATATCGTATGTATTATGTTGAGTTGGTTGATTCGAACCCACCCCATTTCCTTCCTCATAAACTCCATCGGCATTAAACTTTTGGAAGATAGGGTCGTTCATATTGAACCTTCTGATAAGATTATGAATTACACAACATGCCATAGCAATTTTAGCTTGCTTCTCCAATGGGTAATTGTTCATGCCATTAAGAATGCGGACCTTCAAAACATCAAAGGTCCTCTCCACAACATTCTAAAGCGATGCATGTCAGTAATTAAACAACCGCAGGGGTCCAGAAAGGTTACAACACACATCGAGAACATGGTAAGGTACCCGTCTAAGTGGGGCGAGGAACCCACCTCTGTTCGCATAACCCACATCTACTAAGTAATATTTCCCTATAATGAAATATTGAATTTTATTTGTAGAATCTTAAAAAAATGTTTACAATTTAGCTAGAGTACGTAAAGAAGTTAGTTATACCTAGAGGAGGATGTGGGAAACCCGAATCAGGATCATCTATAACTGAATTTAAAATCCTTGCATCATGGGCATATCTTTCCCAACCGATGACGACATCTGTGAACAACATATTGAAGTCATAGACAGCCATCACATTCTACGACAATGTCCTTTACGATTTTGGTATGTATCAGCTACCTTAGCTGGTGCCCACGCATGTACATGTGTACAGTCAATCGCTCCAATACAGTCTTGTCGAAAAAATGGCATTTTAATAGTATGTGAAGACTTACAACATTTATAAAACAATGAAGTTAACTACCGACTAATTAAAAATAATTAAGTACCTTAAAGAATAGGTACTAGTTTGGGTTGGTTGATATCTCCAATGGAACATCATTGAAGTCAGGTGGCTTGATAAAATCTTACTTCAACTCCAGTATCGCATCACAAACTGCATGGACATATCTAGAGACTGTCTCACTAGAATGTTGATAATCCTCCATAAAATCACTATTGATGCGTTTTTCCCAACTGTTGTCAAAAATATCATTACCTGCTCTTCAATACTCATGTGCCTAGTTACTCGCACTTTGCCTTATTGTGCCAATAGATAACATAAGGTCTGAAAACATTGTTTGCCCATGCGACACTTATTGTATATTCTTGTAGGATGACCATTTAGTAGTTCCACCATATAATCGTTACCATTTAATGCAGATGTATGTCTAGATTGGCGTCTTTGCATGCTAAAGTCCATTTCATACACAATAGCCCCAAATAATGCGGCTGCAGCATGTACATATAACTCTACTTCTTAACTTTCATTATCTCAGTTATGGTTTGAATGGCTAGACGACGCCATCTATACCTGTCCATTTGTAACAATTTGGTCATTAGTTCATACTTTTTTTAATATTAACCAAAGTTTAAATAACATTCAATTTTAAAATTAGTTGACCATATCCAACATCTATGAAACATTGCACAACAACACATGGTGTATCGGTTCTTAGAACAAAGCAAGTTAAGTCTTTAATATGAAGGAAGTAAATATAAAATATCTCAAATATCAAAGGAATAAATAAATACTAACAAGTGAAAAATTCAAGTTCAACAAAGAAGTCATACACCGTCATCTACATACTACAGAAGTCATTATAAACCCAAAATTCCCTTATCTTTGATGACATGTTCACCATTAGCTGACGCCACTCTGGGTTGGCAATTAAGTACTTCACAATGTCCAAATATAGTTGCAATGGAAGTTACATACTTTCCAAAATTGCCTGACAACTTCCCAGGGAATATCAATCCATCCTAGCTTTTGTGTTCTCTTGGGTCCCGTCATCGGCACTACGATTTGATGTTGCAGATCCCATAGCCCTATTGGAAATAACTTCCGCCAACTAACCAATCACACCCACTAATAGGTTTCCTTACACATCTCTCCTCCTCCTCCTATTTACGGATCGACTAGATCCAGACTTGTTAGATCATTTTTCCCTAGTTGATCTATCTGGATCAGGTTTGAAGTTATTTGGATCCATGTCCACCTCAACAGGATTGGGAAAACCCATGTTGGATGCCGCAGGTTGAGACGTGGATGTGTAAGCAAATCTGCAGTTGCATTTTGCTTCTCGAATATAACCTCAAATAACTCTCTATCAACAAGTCCCTTATGTAGGAACTGTTGTGCCCTAGGGTTTTGCTATTAATGAAAACAGGCATACATTAATTCATATTTTCCAAAAAAAAAAAAAAAAAATGCATACCGACTACTGCGTTATAAGAATTGAAAAAAAAAAAAATGTTGTTTACCTTTATATATTCTTCCCAAATCTCTTTAGGACATGTTAGAGTTTAGGACTTGTGATCTCAACCAAACCCCGTATGTTGCATTAGCGCATGCCAAGAGTTGTATGTCAATTGCAAGCATTTGTACTTAGACAACTGTGACACTTCCAGTTTCTTATTTGCTATATTTTGTAACTATTCACTAATCCTCTTGTGGTCAGAAGATTTTATTGCAGTACTGTGGGCTGTTTTTGTCGACTCAGCCAATAGTTCTAAAAACTTATGGGTGAGTTCAACGGTCCATTGAACAGATGGACTCATCAAGTAACAGTAGGTTGGGAACAACAACCAAGATTGAAACATTGTAAAAATTAGCAAACATATCAACATGAACATATGCATCATACAACATTATAAACAAAACAGAGAGAAAATATTACCTTGTTTGACCCAACACTGCTTTCAACGGTAAATACGGAGGACACTACAGTCAATGTAGACCAACAAGGTCTTCGGTGTACCCCAATTGTGGAAAAATGTCAAAACTTCCTCCTCTATCAAAAGTAATAATCATTTTTGCGTCGGTGGGCTGAGTGGCATGTACATTTGTTCATAGCATCGTAAGTAACTATTACGATCAACTTGGAGTTGTCAACCTACAAAATGATTAATACATACGTGAGACAAATAATTTCAAGATAATTTCAGCCTTTTGCTTCAACTTGGAGTTATCAACAGCACTGATATGTGGCTTGGCAAGATTTAAACATCATACTTACCCCAACCAACACCTACTTCTGTTAACCATTCAAATTCAATCTATCTATTGGAGTATTATAACCTAAAAGGCATGTTAATGGCTTTAAAGAAATTCTTACCACCATATGCAAACTTATAACAATTAGTCCAAAGGATATGGTGTTTAATTTACCTCATTTTAATTGAAAAAAAAAAGTCCAAGCTCTCATAATAACAATAACACAAATTCAAAGAAAGAAAATTTTCTAAGAAAATAATTTGGTGCAAATAGAAAAGCCACCATTCCGTAATTATCTATAACATGGGAGCAAAAAATTGAAACATACAGGGGAGGCAATAAGTATGAAATTGGTCTTAATGCCACCGTTCCACTAAAGTGATACTCAACCTTCCAAGTGTAAATTCCTACATTTATTCTAGACCATGTAATGAATGGTCTAATCTAACGGACATTTATATATACAACATATCACCTTTGGCCAAGCTTTGCCACTTTGTTGTAAAAGTTGATAGCCAGAAATCAACTTTCTCAAAATCAGAAATTTACATGTTATTGCCAAGCCAAAATTTGCAATAGGAACTATACAATGACCAGATCTCATTCTCAAAGTACTCACCCTCAAATTAAACTTAATCTATCCAACACAACATAAGAGAATATAAAACAAAAGATTAAAGAGAAAATTAGCCCTTTACCCAAAAAGCAAGTGTTGATCAGTCACTAAAAGCATCAATAGTGTGACACACCTAACAATAAGGGCAGAGCAACTGTGCAACAGGAATGTCCATTTTTTTTAACATGCATTTGCTTAAAACCATGATGCCATGAAGCAACATACATTCTTTTGAAGAGTATGAACTGTCAAGTATTTGCATCAAAGAATATATGGGTATGTAGGCAGTGTTCAAGTACATAGCAAAAATACTGAGGAAAAATGAAAGAAAAAAAAATAAAAAACACAAACAGAGGGTTAACAAGCTTACGTAGTTGCGTCGATCTGAGATGTTGATGATGAAATTGGAAAGATGAGCTCAGTTGTATCTGGATTTGAAATGAAAT